ATGTTAAAGTCCCCCCCCCCCAATATTTTGTTCTTCTGTAGGAAGCATCCCACCGCTTCCATTGGCACAGTTGCCCTCAGGATGTGGCCATATATTTTTGAGAACATGGAGAGACTTTGTTTTTGTTATACCATATAATGGATGTTACGTATCACAAGAGGTTTGTGTTTATATTTTAATGTAAATGGAATATAGCATGCATGATCCCTTCTGACTTCCCCCTTGTGTTTTCAGAGAGACACTTTTGTTCTTCCTTTACTTTGGTGGGGATTGCCTGTGAAAATGTCTTGTTCCTCACTGACTTCGGCAGAAAGTGAGCCAATGGTCTCCTGCTACAGTAATGGCATGATTGTGAGGCTGCATAGAGGAGTTTCCGAGAACCTAAAGATCAAAGGTAAGACAAAGGTTCATGTTTGTTTACATAGGTTGATGTGAGCTTTACAGGTCTAAATTTGATTAATTCTGCTTAAACCTAGTAATGAATGAATGGCAGCCTCTTCTGAAAGTATCGGCTAGATGTGGATACAGCTTGGTGTCACATCCAGAAGGTGTGGTCATCCATGCCCCATATATGCCATGCACGGAGCCAAAGGTATTCAACATGTTCTACATTTTACCTGAATTTCATTGTCACTCATCTTGAATACACTAAGCTTTTGCCTTACTTTACAGGATGGGGTGTTCACTCTCAGCATGGCAATGGAGAGCGAGTTTAATCTGTCCTGCCCAGCACTGTCGCTTGGTCTTCCTATGAGTGCACCTGATCTTGTATGTGAAAATGAATGCATTTCTGTACCTCATGCTCTGACTTCAACAACACTCCCTCCCACCACAATTACTACAACTACTAAAACCACTCAGCCAAAGCAGGCTGCTACAACAAGTTCAACAACTTCCACAAGTTCAGTTCAAAAGTTGGCTACTCCTCCCTTCCCTTATTACATCCCTGGCCAGCCAGATTTTAAACCTGTTCCTCCTAGTTACCCTTTTCTAATTTTTCCTCCAAACATACCACCAACGATTCTTCCTCAAGGTCCCAAAATTGTGGGCCCCCCAACTGCTATTACCCAGAGGCCACAAGCACCTATTTACGCAAAACGTCCTCAAACTTGGTACCCTTGGTACCCTAAGCCCAGCTTAGGTCTTACCCGTGACCCCAGTCATCAAAGTGCAACTGGGCCACATTATCCAAAACTTTTGTTGGCTCCTATAGCCCCTATCACTCCCCTACTAAAACCCACAGGTAATCCTCAAGATAAGTTGACTTTCACCGCACCCATTGTCCCTCCTTTGCAGTGGGCGTCTATGTTTCCTCCCAGCAATATGGTATATCCTTTATATCCTGGAAAACCTGAATTTGTCACTCCCTCCTCAGCAGTCTTTCCTCAAGTCCCCTACCTGCCTCCTCACTCCCAAACCCAACAAAGACCCTCTGAACCACATTTTCCACCAAAACCAGAGTCTAAAGCACCTATACCCACCCCTACGAGAAAGACAGGACCGCAGCTCCTCCACTCTCCACTCCTCTCCTTCCCGCCACATCGTTCAGAAATGCCACCCGTTCCTATAAAAGTTCCGCAGAGTAATACAGTTTCCACCTCTGGAGCTGTTACTTCCAGTTCAACCACATATTCAGAAGAGTCTGACCAAGCTGTACAACCACAAGCTTTTGTGCTTCCATACCAATCAGTTGTTAAGGGTCCTCCTATGAACTTACACTTTGCTTTAACCCCAAGCACTAATTCTACCCCTTCACTCCCCAAATTTCCTCAAGTTGTTCACACCCCTACCCCAATAAAGGCTCCCTCGACTCTAATTAGTTCATCCCATGCACATTCTTTTCACTGTCCAACTTTCTGCCCTGGAGCCCCTTCAACTTTCTACCACCACCACAACCATCACCATTTTGGTCATCCTCTTCAAATGTCTAATCTTGATGTTTCTAGTATGACCAAAATTAAAGGCCAAATGTTGTCATCTCCTGTTGAATCTCCTGGTTCAACCCTTCTTTCCCTTATTCAGGCTATGGGTTATAATTATGGCCCACTTTCCTCAAAACGTGCAGTTGTACCACCAGCTTCAGATTATACAGCAACGCAATATTTGGTGGAGAATCCCCTCATTAAGGATACCGATGCCCCTGGTACTTCAAAGTATATGAAAGGGCCAACCATGTGGCCCTACATTTTTAGGAAGTTGGAATCAACTGCTGCCTCTCCATGGTCTACAATGAAACCTGCAAATGTTGCTCTTGTTATTCATCCTTTGGGACCTTCTAAGCTGCATTCTAGACTCTTACAAAATATACCAGTTGCTGAACCTCTTGCTTATTCAGACCAAAGCCCAGACCCTGCAGTTAACCAGGCTGAGATACAGCGGTATTTCTCCCTGTGGGGCCATGACACACAGCCAATGTTAGTTGCTCCAAATAATAATGTTCCCTCTTTTGAGAAAATGGTCCATCATGACATTTCTTCAAAACCTACAATGCCTCCAACTCATGGCAAAAATGTATTTATGAATTACTGGTATCAAGCTGCTAATTTGAATGCCAAGCCCCCTATGTCTAATTCTCCCACAAAAGACTCTCTCACCCAGATGCCATTACCTCAGCCATCCAATAATCACAATCCATTTGAGCCGTCAAATCAGTCGCCTCAACCAGAGCGAAGTCGTGGCAAGAACCCTCCACTGCAGCTTAATTTTCATCCCTTTATGCAGATTCACAACTCTGTGCCAGTAATGAGCCCTCGGCTGTATTTCCCTCCAAATGGAGAATCTATGGTTCCTGTGTTTAGGAGCCCAAAATTATTTCAGACGCACTGGGTTCCTGCTGTTCAATCGAACAAGGATGCATCCACTGCGCTCTGAGGAATGTGGAGAGCTGGAAACAGTGCTAACTTGCAATAAAAGTGTTTAAGTGGAAAAACTGTTATTGGCTTTTCTTTAAAGACCCTTTTTTGTTGTCACACGAGACGTAGAAGAAACATTTAAAAGAGGTTTGGGGTGGGTTGAATGTTTATATCAGCGATGTCCAATCCTGTTCCTGCATAGCCACCTTCCAGCAGGGTTTAGCTGAGAAACGTGAAAGCAGTGGTCTGTATATTTGGTCATCTCTACCAGAAACCCTACGTCACTTTCTTAGATGAGCAAGTTACAGAAAAATAATGTATGCATCCATACCTCCGTTTGCCTTACATCTGACAATGTTTAGCTGTTTTTATTGTAAAATGACAGTTTAACGAAGAGTTACTACGTTTTGAATAGGCTCAGTATTAGGGTATATTACCTGTGATACACAATGGCATTGGAAATACAGCATTTAAAATAAATACTAGAGAATCTCTGTCCCACTTATTTCGTTGTTTTGTTTTTTTCTTTTTGACAATTTTTAGTTTAATAATTTGAATGTTGTATAGGCCTATTGAAGGGGTGTTTAAAATATACAGTGTTCATGAACAGACTTTTTTCTCAAAGCCATTTCTGTGAAGAGTGTGATAAAGATATGGCCACCGTCCTGTGAGTGTATGACATCAAGTGATCATTCCTAATGCGAGATTTTCAATCACAAACCTTTTTTGTTCTAAAACCTTTCTAACTATTTTCACAATTCCTTAAGGTGAAAACACTGCTTATTGATTACAAAATGCACTAAACACAGACTCATAAACATTTGCATTTTATTACAGCACCATAGTAACAGGCACAGCCTTTATTGCTTCCTTAACAAGAAGGCCAGTTTTGTTTTTACATGTACCTGCTTTGTTATAAAACATTTACTCCTGACCGACTGCATTTATGAGTTTGGTGGCTACCTCAGAACAAGATGAGTTAATGTCATCTGTATATGGTCGTGAAATTTGACCAGGTCAGAAATGTTTCTTTTTTCCTGGACAAATGGGAGCAAGGAGAATCGGCTCTGAAAGAACAGCTGTTTTTTCTGACACTGCTGCATCTACTGCTGGCCCTTCTATTGCAGCGACCTCCCTCTTTACAACAGGAGCTTCCTTTGGCGCCATCACCACCTCGGCTGATTCAGCGGATTCTGCAGAGAGCAGACCTCTGGCCGAGGGGTCATGGAGTGCTGTCAGCTTGTGATGTTTGAGGCTGTGGATGGCAGGGTTGTGCTGAGGTCCAAAGGTGTGTGCATGCAGAAGTTGTTGGACTCGCACTGTGGCGTTGCTTGCTGGATCCACAGCTGGGGTCTGTCATGAATAAAGGAATTAATAAAGATTATAGTGAATAATAGAGAATAAATATAGAGAATATAGAGAATAAAGAATATAGTGTGTCTAACTTTAGCTTAAATTAAGGTTTAAAGGTGAAGGATGTAATTTCTATGCCAATAATGGTGCCAAACGGAAATGCAGTCTGTTTGGTGGATGACTGGGGCCAGTCATACACACTCAGAAAAAAGGTAAAAAAGTTACCCTTTCACTACATGGTTACGTTTTAACAACATCTTTGTTTGCATTCATTTAACTTGTCCCAGTTATTTATGTCATGAGACTATTAGATTTAAATTTTTGATCAGTAATAAAGTTCTGATGAAGAACAAATACAATAAACTTACCACTGCAGGTTGTGTCTCTGATTTAATATAAATCAAATTATTGATTAAAGGCAGTCATTGCATTTACAGTGTTTTACATTGTAAGTGCACATTGTGTTAATGTGAAATAATAAAGAGATATTTACTGGGCCAAAGATTTTGCAGTCAACATCATTCAGATTGGCAGAACCTTTAGCTAGACAGAGGCCATGGATCTAAAAATAGTCACAAATACGGATTAGACACTTTGAAGTCAACATGAAAGACGGTTCAAGCCATTTTGCTTCTGTAATCTGATGTTATTTCTGAGCAAAAGAGGATATTCAACAGGAAAAATGTAGGACGAGACTTGATTTTATGCGTGGGATTTGACTGGATCATGAAAAGCGGGCATGCAGAATGGAGAGAGGCAGTTGGATGGGGTGGGGTTTAAAAATGAAGAGGGTTTGGTGAAATCATCTGAAAAGTCAAGTCGCTTCAAAGGTTTAGCACCAATGTCTTATGCACAATAAACCAGGAAAGTGTGTTCAGAAATGAAATAGGGTCATTCGGTTTCATGTTGACTTTGACACACAAAGCCAAACCAGCCAAAGTCTCTCTCTCTCTCTCTCTCTCTCTCTCTCAAAGATTTTTCAATTTTCTTACAGCAACAGTGTGATTCTGAGGGATGCATATATCATCATCTTGACTTGTGCAGTTTGTCCCAATAATGGCATATTCTGCAAAGTACCTGGGTCCACCACTGGCAATCTGCAAAAAAAGGAGAAAACAGCACCATATTGTCTATTGCGAGCTTTATTGTCTAAAGATAATTTGTAGTACTCCATGTACATTACCTGGGATCTTATGCGTCCAATTTCAAGGAGTGCAAACTTTGTGTTTAGAGTATTATTTTGATTGAAATAATCTAAAGAGGATTCAATGAGTCGGAGGCCATCGGTGTCATTTAAAAGAACGAGTTGAGGGCAGCCTAAGCATTCAGCTGATTCTAGACACAACAACAAAACAAAACATCTCCTCTCTGTGATCAGATGACAAGTGCATTTGTTTTACAGTGCTCTTTTGTCCTCTTACCTGTCTCAGTTTCACACTTGAATGCCACAACAGACAGACCTTGAGTTGTATTTGCCAGTACAAAATCACAATCTGCCTCAACTGCCTAGAAGAGAACCAGAAAGATACTTAATTAGTTGCAATATAACATTTCCAAAAGTACACATACAAATAAAGTTAGTTCTCACCGTATTAACTTTTTGTCTGACTGGACAAAGGCTCACTGGCGTTGGATCCAAGACATGACACGTAGTTTCCAGCAAATCCAACTCCAGATGATACGCGTCCGCTTGAAGTGGCTTCAGAAAGACATTTGAATCTTAAAAGCCCCATTTATACCAGTAGTAAAATCTGCTAAATTTATGTAAAAGAGAACGTTTTTGAATAGTTGTGTAGATATAAAAACAACAAATTTGATCACAATGTTACATTTTCAGAAGCACATCACAAATACTGTATAAATTCCATAAACTGGATGTTCTGTTTCGTCCATTTCAGTGGACGAAATAATCATATAATATCATATCTACATTTTTAAAGCCAATGTTACTAACTTGCATACACCACATGACTGTTACAACCACCATCACACGAGCATTATTCACGATCATCCGTTATCTTACCATGGAGACGATCTTGATTTTGTCAATTTGATTGAGTGCATATTTGTAACCGTGTGTGTGCTGAGCATTGAGGAAATCCTGTGCCACCAGAGCCGCTGCTTCAGCCTCCGGGGTATCGCAGGGAGGGAAGCTAACGCTGGGCATCACCCCCTGCGCCCGTGACCCCATTACCAGGAGCCCGAGAACAGTGAGCGTAGCGCAGAGCTGCATGCTGAACAGTAATAACCTGAAATCCTGAAGTGAATATGCGGACAGAGGGTAACCGGGTTTGGTTTGCTGTATATATATATGCTGTACTTTAGTCTTGACCACATGGTCAATGTAAAGACATTCTGGCTTCTGTTACGTAAATGACTCCAATGAACCAACTTTGGGTGCCAAAGTAAACGAGAGTGGATGTTCAAAATAAAGTTTGTTTTGGGGAAGCAGGGGTGCTTTTAAACTTTGACCACGTCCTTGATGATAAAACGAACATGAATGGAGCCTGAATGAAAACATCCCGCTTGTTTTCATGCTAAGAGTTAATGCATCTTCAACAAATATAATCAGAAAAGTAAAAGCCTTTGATTTGACTAACTTTTTTTTGCAAACGTTTGTCAGATTTCAAACACTTACTTTTATACTTCTAAAAAAACGGTTTTGCTGTTTCTAGTGCTTATCGAACACCCAGCAATGCAAAGCAAACATAACTTCATGCAAACTTGTTTTTCTGAAGTGACTCTATTTGCCTGACTATTGCGGAAATCCAGTTCAACTACTGCACAGTGGTCAACAATATAAGGGATGCTTGCAAACCTGATTTGATCAAGAGTCGCATGCTATTTTATGGCCTATATTTCCCCATAATTTCATTTGAAGAAAGAACTTAATCTCTTTTAATCTGTGATATTCTAATCTCAAAAACAAAATAAAAGTCATTCATTCAGTATGAAACATGCTGTCAGTCTCAAATTCATAAAACTAAAACTAAAAATATTCACAGCTGCTGGCTAGAAAAATATGATCATGTTTGTTAGTTGCATTTATTACAAAAATATTGGTGATGCTCTTATTTTTGTGAATAGTTCAATAGATTTGCAAAAGACATCTGCTATATAGGTTTGATAATAGAAAATAATGGAAAGCTGAAGCAGTCATTTGAACACTTAGGTATAAAAGTCCAGGATTAAATATTGACTCCAGAAAAAAAAAGAAAAAAGCATTTAATGATGTGCAAATCCATGCTTTCCTTATGATCAGAATATGACAGTATTTCATAACACTGGGCTTTATACATATTATGATTAACCACATTTTCTTCTAGTGGTGTGCACATGTTATGAGAAACATTTTGAGAACATTTTCAAAAATAGATATTTATGAGGAAAAGGAAGGCACACGTAAAGCCTTTCACTCGCAGATGCTACAACGTGTACAGATCTGAGATTTTTTTAAAGGGGTCATAGGATGCCCATTTTCCACAAGTTGATATGATTCTTTAGGGTCTTAATGAAAAGTCTGTAACATAGTTTGGTTAAAAATTCTCAATGGTAGTGTAAAACACACCTTTTTTACCCTGTCAAAAACAGCTCTTTTCAGAGCAAGATGTTTTGTAGCATTTTCCTTTGACCTTTTCTGCCCCCGCCCCTCTCTTCCGAGCCGCTCTCTGAGGGACTGTTTACTTTAGCCGCATTTATCGTGAAACCTGCTAATTAGCACATTATTAGGAAAGGCAATTTGCAAAGATTCGTTAAAAAAACTTTACACTCACGTCTTCTGTAGGTGAAGCTGGATCACGAATGATTCGCGTGAACATAGACGCATTTATGTAGATCGGGGGCGCATTCCCTTCAGAAACAAACATAATCCACTGCGTCTTCAGCGGCTCAGATGTTGGGAGTAAATGACGACTGCTGTGTTCATTATTACATCCAACAACAGAACACCTCAATCGCTTAGGAGTCATTCTTGTCTACAACTGCTCCGGCGGTGAAACAATGGCGGACTGATGACAGCTCACTCAGGGCGGGTCTAAGGTAAAACCCCGTTCACACTACAAGTGACACGCAACAGCAAAGCGACACAATCCCATTAATTTCAATGGGGAGCTGGCGATTTCCGGCGACACGAGCGACAGCGGCCATTGGCGACCGGATAGCGGCAAGAAACCTGATTCGCTCTCAAGGCAACCAGTATTGAGAACGCCCACTAGCAACCTCATCGCCAGCCCCTGGCGACTTGCAGCGACAAAAGTCGCTGCTAGTGTGAATGGGGCTGGTTGTGTACACATACTGCCAACACACATTTCAGTTCAAACAACTTGTAAAAGTGCATGTAGCATCCTATGACCCCTTTAAATATCAGTATTATTTTCTCTGCTCCACTAGCAGACAACCAATCACATATTGGTATTCTCACTGAATGTTTCTTAATCTACATTTTGTCCAAAAAAAAAAAAGGATTGCGACTTCCCATAATGACCTTTAATGATATTTAAAGGCCTTCACGTATTGTATCAATCAGCCCACATCTGGGAAGA